AGGATGCTTTTTACTCATGCACGAACAGATGGCATCCGTTGGTATGCCTAAATAGATTGGTCACCTTAAATAAGAAGAGGTATGTAGACTTAGCTAATTATGCATGTTTCCTTCCTGCGTTCCAAGTTTAACGGCTCGAGAAAAGGACTAATGTAGTAACGTAGCTGATGGACAAACGGTTCTATGTTTGAAGGAAATTGGAGTCGCAATTTCCAACAAGAGGGGAGAAGGATCAAGATTATAAAAAAGACCTAAATGAACATACAAATAACATTAACCACATTATCTCTGCGGCCATGACAGTCAAATGTGTCGAATACAAAGATGTTGAAGCCTGTGTGCACAAAAGTAGCCTTCTGCTCTCCACTTCTGGTTGTTTTCGTCTTCGATACGATTATCCAGCTACTTACTCCGGCATAGGTAATGGAGATGTAAGTACAAATTGATGCCTGTGCTGTCCCAAACATTTTTCTTGTGGCAAAATTCAATGGAAAACCGATTTCGGTAGTGTTTCTTTATCAGCACCGTTTATCTGACAAATGAGCCCATTTACGCTAGACGCATCAAGCCAAAGAAAAGTTCGAAATGTCCTGAACCGGTTTGACAAATTTAATGAACTGCTTATGCCACACGACACGTCCAGAATCAATAATTCAAATATATTGTGGAACTGTATTCGGATGAAATTGCGGGTTCTTCAAAGTTTTCTTGGCCTATAGGGCTTTTTACTGACCAATGAGAGTTTCTGTTGGTCTTTTTGCTCTTTTCGTATGCTTTTCGCGTGTTTTTTACTTATATTTTCAGTACAGTAAAACAATTACAAGCGGCTTTACTTTATTTCTTACTGCGCACTTATCAGACATTAAACATGCATTCCCTGCTATTTAATCGATAATTACTCCTTTACCAACGAAGTCCGTCATACACTTCGGCTGGGAGACTATTTTTCCACTGCGCGACCCGAAGATTTATTCCTGTTCAACAAATTTATGCGTGGAGAAGGATATCAAAGCAACAGAAATTAAAATTTTTTACTCGAGAAACGGAGAAAATAGGATAATTTGATGGTATCCAGACCGCTCAATCAAACCCCTTGATTTGAACAATGGTTGTAAAAATTCCTAAAACAGTTGGCTTAACATTTGGAGGCATTGATCATCAAAGATATTAATGTGACCATTTACTAGTATATATTTCGCGCAAATTCTTCAAGCTGCAATAGCATAGCTGACAATTAATATGTTTC